GAATTATGCTAAGAGAAATAAGCCAGTCTGAGAAAGACAAACACCATATGATTTCACTCATATGTGGAATATAAACAAACACACGGACAAAGAAAACAGTTCAGGGGTGACTAAGGGAAGGAGGTTGGGGACGAGCACAGGGGGTGATGGGGAGCACTTATGTGGTGACTCACAAGAAATAATGTACAACTGAAATTTCACAATGATGTAAACTATTATGAACTCAATTAAAAAAATTTTAATTTAAAAAAAGAAGCAAATTCTGCTATATACTACAACATGGATGAACCTCAATTGAGGACATTATGCTGAGTGAAATAAGCTAGTCATAAAAAGACAATTACTGCATGATTCCACTTAGATGAGGTATCCAAAGTGGTCAAATTCATAGAAACAAAGTACAATGTGGTTACCAGGGGCAAGGGTATGGGAATGAGGCGTTATTGTTCAAGGAGTATACAGTTTCAGGCTTGCAAGATGAAAAAAACCTAGACATCTATTACACAATAATACCCACATAGTTAACACTGCTGTAGTGCACACTGAAAAATGGTTAAGATGGTGTATTTTATGTTATGTGTTCCTTACCATAATAAAAAAAAAAAAAAGTATAGTAAGAAAGAATAGCCATCTCACACTTGCTTGTCCCACCTCCTGCCTGCCTGGCCAAGCCCTCCTGGGACCTTGGCTGACCCCATCCTCAGCATCCAGGAGAGCGCCATAGGAGCGGAAGGTGGGCCTGCAGCAAAGTGAGGCGAGACGTCCGGGATCTGCCTTCTCCCCAACACCTTCCATGGCACTCACGTGGCACCACGGTTCTGATCCTAAACCACTTCCTTGTCCACCCCTGGGCAGGACAGGGGTTGAAGAATGGAGGATGGAGAAGAGCAGGAGGGCAGTTACCAAGCTGTCTGTTGACTTCTTCATTTGACTCAGGAACCTGACCTGAATCTTGCTTCTAGAAAGACAATGGGCCCCATTCCTGCCCGGGCCTGCCTTCAGCAACCCAAAGGTTCTGAGAAGCTGACGGGAGTCAACAGTGCTTCCTTTAAGGTGAGGCTGGAGACAGGTTCTCCTTGTCTCCCATCTCTGCCTACATTATCTGCCTCTAGCAAAGAAATGTGGCCAGAGTCATGATCGTGCCTAGCACTGCTCCTGTTTTCCAGGAGGACCTCAAAAATAGCTGTAAGCAAATGAATGTGCTGGTTTTAGATGTCTGTCCATCTCCCCTTGCTGGAGAATTTAATAACAGCAGACATTTACATCAGGTTCCCATGTGCTCTAAGCACCTTTACAATATTAACTCATTTAATCCTTATAGCAATCATAAGAGCTGGGCACTATAATTCTTCCCACCTTACAAATGAGCAAACTGAGGCACGGAGCAATTGTAAACCTTGCCCAAGACCACACAGCCCGTAAGCAGCAGAGCTGGGAGCAGCTCCACGGGGGCAGGGAGCTTCTCCCCCCGACTGTTCACTCCTAACCAGGCCTGGTACCTAACAGGTGCTCAAGTATTTCCTGGAGGGATGTGGATGGATGCACGCCGTGCACATCCAGCGCCCTAGATGATGACAGTCCTTTGAAGGAAAAGAACCCTGAACACACCATGTTGCTGGTAAACTCTTTGTTACCCTAATGACTTAGGAAATACGAAGGGACAGTGAGTGCAAAGCCAGTTCAACAGGAATCACAGCTGTAAAAGACCACCAGAACCCATATCTCTTCTGAACAGGTACCCATGGCTGTTTAGATGGTGGGAATGTGGGTGAGTGACAGGAGCTTGCTCATCACTTCTGCTTTCAGGAAAGACACATCTACCAACCAGGTCAGGTTTTTCACGAGACAGAGATATCGAGTGGCTTTTTCCCTTTAATTTGTTCTTTCTCTACCCTCTGGAATGTATCAAAGTTTTCTTCCCTAAACCAGTCCTTTTCCTAAAAGATTTGTTCAGCATTCAAATGCTGTGTGATATGCTGTACTGGACAGAAATGAAGGGTGTTTTCCCCCCATCCTGCAGGTGAGGTGGGAATCCTCCGTGATAACTGCTAGTTTCTGATTGCTGCTGTAACAAATTACCATCAACGTGGGGGCTTAACAAAAACGTATAATCTTACAGTTCTGGAGGTCAGAAGTCCTAAAGTCAAGGTGTCAACAGAGTTGTGTTCCTTCTGTAGGCTCTAGGGGAGGGCCCATTTCCATGCCTTTTCTAGCTTCTGGAAGCCACCTGCATTCCTTGGCTCCTGGTCCCTTCCTCCATCTGCAAAGCCGGCAGTGTAGCATCTTCAAATCTCTCTCTCTCTCCTCTGCTTTTGTCTTACATCCCCTTCTGTGACTCTGATCTTCCTGTTCCCCGGTAATAAGGAAACTGGTGATTACCTTGGGCACACCACAATGATCCAGAGCAATCTACTCATCTCAGATTCTCAATTTAATCACATCTGCAAAGTCCCTTCTGCCATGCAAAGTATCACTCACAGGTTCTGGGGATCAGGATGTGGAAATGTGAGGGAGGGAGGGGCATTATTCTGTCTACACAAAACCTCTGTCATTGCCAAACTCTTTCTCCTCTCTTTCAAAAACCCCAGCTCTTTTGAAGATTGTGTCATTCTTAATCAATTCACCCTCCTCGTTACTATAACCCAGTGGCTCCCTATTTGCTGCATTTGGAATCACTAGGAGAGCTTTTAAAACTCCCAATGCCTGGGTCACACCCCAGACCAATTAAATCGCAATGTCTGGGGATGGGAGCCAGGCATCAGTGCTTTTTTTTTTTTTTTAGATCCCCAGGGGATTCTAACGTGAAAATTTGGGGAGCCACTGCTATGAGTGAGATGTCCCCCAAACCACCCCTCACACCCCTTCATTGATTGATGTGAGAAGGACCTGCTACACAATTTTCAGGGCCCAGCGTGAGGACCCTTGTCAAAAAATCAAGAATTTCAGGACAGTCACAGCAGAGGATGCACACCTGGAGGCCAGCGCACGGCTCTGGGATCTTCTGCTCTCCATTCCTATCCTCATCTCTGATGAGGTCAGGAGTCATGTGCAGGATCCGTCCAGTATTTTGGCTTCCCAGTCCTTTGACCTCCTTCACACCAGCAAGATTTTCCTACCCACTTCATGTGGTTCATACACACAGCCTCTCAGATCTTGACCTCAAAACATGCCACACTCACCCCCAGGACCTGGCTTTCCCTCGTGGGTGCCCTGCCTTCAGAGACCTCCATTCCAACAACTCTACTGTTTTTCCCTCATTCAAAATCTCCACCTTCCTTGTATCCTTTCTTCCATCCTTAGAGGCCATAGCCCTACACTATAATCCCTTCCTTGCAAACACCCTTCACTCTGCTGCGTGAGCCTGGCAAAACACCAACCCTCAAACTTCACTAAGTAATATTTCACTAGTACATTGCACTAGCAGCTGGAGGATGCTGGGTGGACATTGCAGGAGGCTGATCATACTTTCTTGACATTTATGGCCACAGATCCCAAATGGGCCCCCCCGCTCTGTTAGTCAGCGCCACCCAATTCCCTAATAAATTCACTTTCCCACTCTGCAAGATGGCTATTCTTTCCTCAGACCTCCCTAATTGATCCCTCTTGCTAATGCCCTCAAATTGCTCAACCTTCAAAGAGAAAATAATGCCCTCGAGAAGAGCCAGCCAACATGCCAGCAACTAGATGCACACACTTTGCCTTCCCTTCCATTACAAGAGGGGCCTGATTCCAAGGCCAAGCCCCCACCTGAGCCCTAGATCTCATCAGAACTCACCTTCGCACACATTTGGTTCTTGAATCAGTCCCTTTCTCGCCTTCACCAATTTTTACCTCTTTGAGATTATTGCCTTTGCATAAAACATGCTTTAATATCTCTCCCAGCTTTTAAAATTCTTTTTAAAAAATTCAAGTCATACAACATATGCTCTCTGACTACAATGGAATTAAGTTAGAAATCAATAGCAAGATATCTGGGAAAATCCACAAATAGTTGGAAACTAAAAATATATACTTCTCAAAGAAGATATCAAAAGGTAAATTACAAAGTATTTTAAACTGAAATTGAAAATACAACCTATCAATGTTTATGGAACGTCACCATCATAGTACTTAAAGGGAAATTAATAGCCCTTACTGTCTACACTAGAAAAGAAGAAAGACCTCAAATCAATGACCTCAGCTTCCATGGTAAGAAACTAGAAAAAGAGCAAATAAAACCCAAAATGAGAAGAAGAAAGGAAAGAAAGATTAGAACAGAAATATAATCAGAAAAAAAATCAGTGAAACCAAAAGCTGCATCCTTGAGAAAAATCAATAAAATTCGTAAGCCTCTAGCCAGACTGATCAGGGGGAAAAAAATGAAAGACACAAATTACCAATATTAGGAATGAGAGAGGTGGCAATCACTACCAATGTTAAAAGGATTGATAAGGGCATGTTATGATCAACTTCATGTCAATAGAGTCAATAACTTAGATGAACTATACAATTTTGAAAAATATGAATGAAGTTCACTCAAGAAGAAATAGAAAACTTGAATAGCCCTATATCTTTAAAATAGAGATACAAATAACCTTTGGGGAGGGGGGAGAAAGAAATATTGGCTGAGCCACAGTAAGGGACCACACACAGCAGGTGCTCACCTTTCTGACCTCACCTGTTGAGTTGATGGAGAAGGTGGAGTCAAGGTGACAGAGGCACAGGAAGCTTTGCAAGCTCTGCTTGGGAAAAGCTGAGTCAGAATGAGATGGCATGTCTTCATAAATGTAAAAGTCCCTAATCAAACACACTTGGATCAAAAACACAGATTACTCTAAAGAAAGGTGGAGAGGGGGGTTCTAATTGCCTGTCACACCTAGACACACGTAGGTAACACAGATTTCACTGGGAGAAAAAAAAAAAAATATATATATATATATATATATATATATCCTCAGAGCTAAAATGCAGACACGTCAGCGCCCATAAGAGTTATGGAAGGATTAAATAAAAACACTCCAAAAAGAGGCTTGGCACACAGTAAGAGCTTCATAAACATTCCCTCCCACTTGGGGGCGCACTGGGCATCATATAGAGCGACGTATCCTGCCCACACCTGTAAATCCACTCATAGACCTTCTTTCTCTAGTTCTCTTGAGTTTCTGTCAAGCAAGAAAAGGTATCTATGTCCTCATAAGCAGTTACAGTGTCTAAATAATTTCATTGCTTCTTAGAGAAAGGCGAACATTTTTATTTTGCAGTGTATGTCGGTCGCATGCCCAAGAAAATTACTCAGCACTTGTTTTTCTTCTTTTGGGGTTCTCCTAAAAGTGTCTTCAGTCCAACTGCTGTGAATCTGTAGACCCCGTCGACCCATCACCGTCCGGTTTTGCTTTGGGGGAAGACAACGTTTCCAACCCGCAGACCACCGCTTAGCTCAGAGGTGGGATCAAAAGAGGGCGCACGCAGCGCGGGGAGGGGGCGGCCCCGGGAGTGGGGCGTTACGAAATCTTCGGGAACAGACGGCTCCTCCTTGGAGGGAGGGACAGAGGCCGGAGCCTAGTTCTCTAGAAGTCACAGCGCTGGATCCCAGAACTCAGTTCTGTGTAGCTTCTTTGACTGTGCCCGGGCACCCGCAGCGCGCGCCCCACGTGGCTACAGCACGGTCCGCTGTCCGCTCAAGTGCCCCGTGCGCCCCCAACCCGGCCATGTCGTCTTGCAGCCGCGTGGCACTGGTGACCGGGGCCAACAAGGGCATCGGCTTCGCCATCGCGCGCGACCTGTGCCGGCAGTTCTCGGGGGACGTGGTGCTCACGGCGAGGGACACGGCGCGTGGCCGGGCCGCCGTGCAGCAGCTGCAGGCGGAGGGCCTGAGCCCGCGCTTCCACCAGCTGGACATCGACGACCTGCAGAGCATCCGCGCCCTGCGCGACTTCCTGAAAAAGGAGTACGGGGGGCTCAACGTGCTTGTCAACAACGCGGGCATCGCCTTCAAGCGTAGGTGTGGGGCTGGGAGGTCCCTGGAGTGCTCCGGGGGTGCGGGGCAGGGAGCCGCAGGCGCCCCCACCCATCCACTTGAGTGATGGGGAGGGCAGCGCCTGCCCCTCGGTACGCGCTCAGCTTTCGCCTCCCGCGGCGGGTTGTCGCTCTCCGCGGAGTCGCCCGAGCGGTTCGCTTAGAGCAAGGCGGGCGCGGGCGGCGGTCACAGCGCGCCCCGCCCGCTTGCCTGTGCGGGCCTGTGCGCAGCTCGGGGGCCCTCCCGGAACTGTCAGCTGCTGTGGTTTGCAGGAAAACCGGCCTCCTGGGAGGGGACCACGCCCTGCTAACCTCATCAGCTTTCTGTCTAATGCAAGAAACATTTTCTCTGCGAAGGGTCTCCAAGCTCACTTTGGGCTTTCGCTTTCCTTGAAAGGGCGCATTCATAGATGCCAGGAGGCATCTATCTGCTCGGGACAGGAAATGAATCGCCGAGACCCGATTAGCGCGCACTTGCACATTAGTGGACTCGAGACTTTGTTTAATGGAGAGCTTTGATAGGCTCTGGCAAAGAGGAAGCGAGCCTGGTTCCCTCCCCTAGGGAACTTATGTTTGTTATCAAACATAAAAGCGTGGTTTTAAGTAGCATCTTCCTTTGAAGGGAAAAGAAAGTCAAGGAGATTACTTACTCTATCACTTGACTGAGTGCTATGTGCCATGGATAAAAAGAAATTAGGGGCCAGCCTGGTGGCGCAGCGGTAAAGTGCGCACGTCCGCTTTGGCGGCCCGGTTGGCTGGTTCGGATCCCGGGTGAGGACCTGGCACCGCTTGGCAAGCCATGCTGTGGTAGGCGTCCCACATATAACGTAGAGGAAGATGGACACGGATATTAGCTCAGGGCCAGTCTTCCTCAGCAAAAAGAGGAGGAGGATTGGCAGCAGTTAGCTCAGGGCTAATCTTCCTCCAAAAAAAAAAAAAGAAAGAAAGAAAGAAAGAAACTTTACCTTCACTTACAACCTAGCGGGAAAAAGAAACCTAAGAGAGAGAACGGAGTAGAATGAACGACTGTGGAGCGTTAAGACTTCATCCCTTTAGCGGTAGGCACTGACCATCGCTGTGCACCCACACCTGCAACCCTGCAACGCAGGCTTTCTGGGAGCGCTGGCGAGATGTGGCGGACACACCCGCCTGGAACAGCCCTCAGCCACTGGTTGAGGGATTTGTGAATAAATACCCCGCCTCCTGGACAACACGTCGGGGAACACTGAGGTGCGCTAGAAGCCCTTGCCCCTCAAAGTGTGTGCGGTGGACCAGCAGCACCCGCAACCCCGGGCATGTGCTGGAATCGCAGAATCTCACGCCTCGCCCCACACCAACTGAATCAGAATCTGCATTTTAACAGAATCCCCAGGTGCCTCCTACGGCCATACGGCTTGAGCAGCAGCGGTCAAAGGCAGCCGTTCTCCGTGTGGCTCACGGACCCCTAGCTGCAGCGTCACCTGGGAACTCGTTAGAAAGGCAAATTCTGGAGGCCCACCCAGACCTTCTCAGTCCCAAATTCTGGGGGTAGGGCCCAGAAAGCTGTGTTTTAGCAAGCCCTGCAGGTGATTCAGATACTGTGCTTGAAGTTTGAGAACCAGAGACCTAGTGATTGCAAAATTCTTGTAAAGTTAGCTTGTTTTTCCTCTAAAAGCATTTAAGATCCACTCTGTCATATGAATTTCAGGGAGAAATGTATGACTTTGTCTGTGTTTCGTTCTCTTTTTAAAAGTTGATGATCTAACGCCCTTTGATATTCAAGCTGAGGTGACACTGAAAACAAACTTTTTTGGGACAAGAAATGTCTGCACCGAATTACTACCCATAATGAAACCTCACGGTAAGTCCAGCCATGTGGATTGTCAGCTTGTCAGCAAGGAGTGAGCCAGGGGGCTGCCCCGCAGGAATCACTCCGGGGTGCTATTTCTCTGTAGGGGGAAAAAATAGATAATTGCATTATTTCCTTAGAGTATCCGTCTCCTCACTTGGACATTTCAGCTTTAGCTTTAAAAGATATTGGGGCCAGCCCAGTGGCATAGTGCTACTTGCCACAACTAGAAGGATCCACAACTAAAATATACAACTATGTACTGGGGGGATTTGGGGAGAAAAGAAGCAGGAAAAAGAAAAAAGAAGATTGGCAACAGTTGTTAGCTCAGGTGCCAATCTTTTAAAAAAAAAAAAAAAAGAAAGCAAGCCCGCAGGCGGAGTTGCAGGCACTGGTTGAAGGACGCCTTGAGTCCAGGTGCATGGAGTTGGTGAGTGCCCAGGGCCAAGGGGGTGAAGTTGTTACATGCAAATCTAAATGCATTTTCTTTTGCTCCCTTTTTTACACAAAGAGGACATTAAGTATAATGTTTGCCTCCTTGCTTTCTTCACTTACTATATCTGGGACTCTTTCTGGATCAGGACAAAGAGATTCATTATTCTTTTTTACAGCTGCATAGTATTGCGTTGTAGGGATGTCTTTTATCAAGTGTCAGGAGTCATCTCCCTATGGATTTTAGAATCATAGAATTCGAAAGCTGCAAGCGACTGAAGAAACCTTACATTCCTACACCTTCAGTTTACAGAGGGGGAAACTGAGGCCCAGAAAAGTGAACACAGCCAGGCAGAAATAGAGCTGGAAACAATATCCGTGTTTCCTGACTTCACCCTCCAGTCAAATCAGGATCCGTCATCAGTTCTGGGGAAGTAAGGATTATAGCACCAAATGCTTGCAGACCAAGCCATTGTGAGAGAGAAAAGGCGCTTTGGGGAGGGTGGGGCTCAGGGATCAACCCAGAGCAGGTGAATCACTGCCTTTAATCCACTTTCTGTAACAGCATTTCCCAAAGTGGGACTCTCTGATTTACAACACATGGAGAATATTTGTGACTTTTCCATAAACCTCACATTTACCTGGAAGGCAAAGCTCTGAGCATCGTTACCTCTTGATTTGTAGGGAATCGCTTTCTCCCCATAGAAAACTGATCGGAAAGCCATCTTTATTGAGCTCTATAACATCACTTTAAATAAAGGTACCCGTCTCGCTTATTCGTGCAAGATTCTGAGTAAATAGGTTAATCAACTGTTAAGCCACTGGAGGGAGCTACTTACCCAGCCTTGCTAGAATGGGGGCGGCTGTGTCTGGATGCATGAGGCCACCTGGACCTCAGCAGAGGTGGGGGGTGGTGTGGGTGCAGCACTTCTCAGGGCTGGTTGGACCCATCTGGCTGTTAAGATTGTGTCCCCTTGGCCTCTCTCACAGAGGTGTGCCCTCAGACCAAAGGGGACACATCTTCCTCTTAGGTTTTTTATTTCTACCAAAGGCACAGAGTAGCTCCTGTCATTTGTTTTTCTCTTCTTTCTTCCTTTCCCTTTTAAATTTAATTCCTTGTAGCTGCCAAGGGACTGAGAACAGAGCTGTTTAGAAAGTAATGAAGAGCACATCACCACCGGGGCTCACATTCAAGGACAGAGTGAGGGTGTCTCCATTCCTGGCCAAAATATTGAAGTGACTGTAATCATGAGAAAATTAGGCCAATCCAAGTTGAAGGAAATGCTACAAATTAATGGCCTAGATTCTTCAAAAGTTCACCGTCAACTAAAGTGTTTAGAAGGAAAGTTTATGAAGTCTGTCTACAACTTAGAGAGAAAAAAAAGCAAATGTGGCAAAATGTTAACAATTGGTGGGCTTAGGTAAGGGGTGTGGGGGTGTTGAACTATTCTTGCAACTTCTCTGTAGGTTTCAAATTTTTCAAAGTTAAAAGTTGAGAAAGAACTATGTATTACTAGAGAGAGAGAGAAGGAAGGAAAGAGACAGAGAGTCTTAGGTACATAGGGGATAAGTGAGGGCTCGTGTTGAAGGACAGTGTCTCTCATCCCAGGTTGGACCCACAAGGATATCCAGTAGAATGTGAAACCCCACTCCCCACCCCCAAATGTGTACCAGTGGTGAATACCTCTCAGAAAATGAAATAAAATCTAGTTATCCTATTGGATGCAGAGGATGTGGATTCCAAATAGTATGGAAGAAGTGTCCCCCAAAATTGGTGTTTTCTTTTGTTTTGTTTTGTCTTGCTGAGGAAGATTCTCCCTGAGCTAATTTCTATTGCCAATCTTCCTCTTTTTTTCCTTGAGGAAGATTAGCCCTAAGCTAACATCTGCACCAATCTTCCTCCATTTTGTATGTGGGTCACCACCATAGCATGGCTGATGAGTGGTAAAGGACCATGCCAGGGATCCAAACCTGCAAACCCAGGCCGCCAAAGTGGAGCATGCCAAACTTAACCCTTACGCCACAGGGCTAGCCCCCCAAAATTGCTGTTTTTTGACAGTGGATGAAATTCACACGTTTCCTCGCTTTTGGACTGCCACCAAATTTCCAATGCTTCAAATTGTTTTCTAGTTTTTGGCATGCATATTTGTTTTTATGGACAGAATTGTCTCTTTAGTAGCCGTGAGTTATTATTAATAGGAATATTAACTCATATGAATTATATTTAATGAACATTAATATATCGTTATTAACTATGGGCTAAAAATGTAATGAAAATGAAAACTTGGATGGAGAATCAACCCACTCCAAGTGTGAAAGTATCCATCGTTTAGGATAGACAAGGGCAACCCCAAGGCATTGCTTGACCCTGATTTTGGCACTGGGGCATAAAGAGTTGGCTGCCTCCGGCCCTAGGAAATTGTGCAAAGCAAGAGAGAGCTTTAATCTCAGGGTGAGGGAGCTGTGCCTAGAAGAGCAGGTTCACAGGCACCTGGGGTGGGTGTGTGGAGATTGTCCTGTAAAACTCCCTGGGATCCTTCTACAGACCCACCTCCTGCTCAACTAATGCAGAATCACTGCTCTTTAACCCCCGTTACTGATGGAAGTGTATTCTTCCCTTTCAGAGAACAGGAGACCACCAAAAAATGTCAAAACCCACTGGTGCCTTCTAGAGTCATTGTTTTTTTTTCCTGCTTTTTCTCCCCAAGTCCTCCCAGTACATAGTTGTATATTGTAGTTGTGGGTCCTTCTGGTTGTGGCATGTGGGACACCGCCTCAGCATGGCCTGATGAGCGGTGTCATGTCCACGCCCAGGATCGGAACCAGCGAAACCCCAGGCCGCCAAAGCAGAGCACGTGAACTTAACTACTCAGCCACAGGGCCGGCCCCCTAGAGTCATTTATTATGCCTTTTTTTTTTTTTTTCTTATCACCAATTCAACCTGCACCGTGACTCAATCATGTGTTTGGTATATAGTCAACCAATAATTGTTTATTTGTGACATGCTTCTGGATTTTTTATTATTCTGTTTCAGGCAGAGTGGTGAATATCAGTAGTTTACAGGGTTCAAAAGCTCTTGAAAACTGCAGCGAAGATCTGCAGGAGAAGTTCCGATGCGAGACTCTCACAGAGGAGGACCTGGTGGATCTCATGAAAAAGTTTGTGGAGGATACAAAAAATGAAGTGCATGAGAGGGAAGGCTGGCCCAACTCCGCTTACGGGGTGTCCAAGTTGGGGGTCACGGTCTTATCGAGAATCCTGGCCCAGCGTCTGGATGAGAAAAGAAAGGCTGACATGATTCTGCTTAACGCGTGCTGCCCTGGGTTGGTGAAGACGGACATGGCAGGGGCTCATGGTTCCAGGACCGTGGAAGAGGGGGCCGAGACCCCTGTCTACCTGGCCCTCCTGCCTCCAGATGCTACTGAGCCTCATGGCCAGCTAGTCCATGACAAAGTCATCCAAAACTGGTGAATGTCTGCTTTGGAGCTTAAGGTTTAATAAATGTTTGGGGAATGAATGAATGAACTCTGACGTTGTAGTCCGACTCTATTTCTGTCCTTGCAGAGAGTCAGTTAGGATCTCCCTGTGAGAAAGTGTCTTGTTCTGGAATCCAGCCAAGCGATTTTGCTATGCCCAAACTCTTTAGCCTAAGAGAAAGAGGAACGCAGCCCACTGGTTCTCAAATGTTAGAAGACATCAAAATCACCGGGAGGGCCTTTTAAACCAGTGCCCAGAGTTGAGGCCCAAGAATGTGCATTTCTAAGAAGTTCCCAGGTGCTGCGATGGCACTTTGAGAACCGCTGGTCTAGTGAGAGGACTCAAGGCTGTGGAGGGGGTGTCAGCCATTTTCCAGCTGTCCCTTGCTGTTTCTAGCTTGTTGAGTCTGTAAGGATGATGATTTATCCTGTTTCCTTGGCTCTACCATCCTGCTTTGTATCTCATTTTGTTTTATTATATCTGAGTACGTTTTAGTTGATTCTTATATTTATGAAGTAGTATAGCTTGAAGGACTCGGGAGGAATGTCCTTTCTTCATTGGGATATGATTTCTTCCCTAATGGGTTTTTCATCTGGGTTTTATATTCTGTGCTCTTCCCAGAATGTTTACAAGGTTGCCCTGCCACTTCTTTTATCTTGTTCAGGCATTGTGTCAACTTAAAAAGCAAATTTTCCTGTTATTTTATCTCAAAATGAGCTTATTGGAGAATAGCCAAAAGAATTGCAGTTTGGGGTGTGCTATGGTGGACCACAGGCAAATCTGGAAAAGAAAAGAGGGGAGTAGGGAGGGGTTGTTCTAAAGGAAAATCCATTGGGAGAAAGTAACAGTTCAGAGAAATCTTCATTCAGTAGTAAAGTAAGTAGTTGTACTTGCTGTCCAAGATACAGGAATCCTCTCTTCCCATTTGGTGTAACTGATGATGTGTGATAGAGCCTTAGGGTTCCCCTACAGGCCTTCCCAACTCCAACTTAGTTAAGATTTCTTTAATTTCCACAATAGACAACTTTGTCCAGACCATCTCTTTGCTCAGACATATGCAGATATCTTCTCCTTAACCTGTTCTCGCTTCCCTCTCAGCTACAGCCCAGGGTGATTCTGCAGATGCCTCCCTGAGCCCCTTTTATATATAGTCTCTCTGACAACAGGTGACTCCACGTTCACTGCTTTCAAATCGGATTGGTTTTGCAACCAGTCTCCTGGGTTCCTATTACACCCTGTAGAAAGCAGACTTGGAGACCAAAGGATCTTATAAAAGAGAAGAAATATACTTGCAAAGAAAGTTTGCAAGGGAGTCAAGATTGAGGAAGGAATGGCTACCAGACCACAACAAAAATACAACAGGCACACAACAAACAAAATACAAAGAAAAGAAAGCACAAATTTACCAAGTTTATGATGGGCTGTGCACAGAGGAAAACAGCAATGTTGTCACTTCATTATGACCATGAAGTTCCCATCATATCTCCTGACAGCAGCATTGCAGAAATAAGGGATAATGCTGTTTTCCACTCTGAAATCAGTAAAGTATGGAAATCCTCAAGGTTTCATTTATTTGGGGGACCAGGACTACACAGGTGACCCTGTTATTTCTCATCTATCGCAGGGTGCAAGGTTATTCTTCTTGACTCTACAACTTACAATGGCAGCATGTCAGTTTAGCTCTCTCAACCGTCACCTCAATTTTTCATCCATTTTGGGTAGAAGGAAGTCTGAAATCCACCCAGATTGCATTTCACTTCCTTTGGTCATCGCCGTATTGCCTGATTAAATCCAGCATGCTCTCATATTCATCTCAGACAAAAACTCTTAAAACATTTTAATGACTTCCTGTCTGGCTCTAAAAACACTTTGGCTTTTGAGAAGTTTCCTGAATACCTTTCACACCGGCTCCCTCTGCAGCCAGCCTCCAGAGTCCTGCCAATGATGGGCAATTGCATAGGGACCATGGAGCTCTTTCGGGCTCTGTGTGATGGAGTCACAGACAGGAAATGCATGAGTAAACAGGCCAATCCCTTTTATTTCTTCTTCCTTTTTTGTCTCTAGCCAAATCCCACCTTGAGATTTTTGAATCAGCCTGTGGCCCTTGGAAGACCCTTAATTGTGAACTGCTGATCAGACCAGCATTTCTCATTTTTATGGAAAGGTCATCAGGAGCCCTTATTAGATGCTCTGCCCAGAACCCTCTTCCTAAGAATTATCTCCTGGCCCCCTCTCGCTTGCTTCTTGTGTTTGCAGCTGCAGCAGCCACAAAGTGACTTTGCCTTGCTAGCCTCTGTTGACTGCTCCAGCTGCAGGCCCTTCCTCTAAAGGGCTGAACCAGCTGGACTGGATCAGAGAAAGCTCAGAGCCTTTACTGTGAGTGGCCCCACCCTACCCAATGTGGTCCAAGGAGCAGAGAGAGCCAGGCATACCCAGAGGAGGAGGCCACCGACTCTCAAGAAAAGAAGTTACAGAGTGGCCCGAAGAGAGACAGCCCCCTCCCTGTGGTAGCATCCCTTCCCTGGCCTCACACTGTTCCTGAGATCCTGGGTTCTGAGAGATGTTCCAAAATACCCTTGTATCCTTAAAATGAAATAAATTTCCCTTTTCCTTAAGCTAGCTTGAATTGGGTTGTTGCTGCTTGCAACCAAAAGGAGTCTAACTAATAGAAGTGCATGAAAATATTTCAAAGTATGCTGTAGTGAAAAAAAGTAATTAGGCTTGGAATCAGAAAGAAAAAAATCACAAACTGCAAACCCATGGTATACTAGGCCAGATGTCACGCTTAATGCTTTCCCAACATTGTTTTGCATAATTCTCACAACAGTCCTTTGAAGGAAGCATTCATGTCATTTTTTTAAATGAGGAAATAATAGTTTGGAGAGATTAATTTGCCCAAGATCACACAGCTATAAGCCAAGAGCCAGGATGGTATCCAGGACTGTCTGACCACAAAGTTCCTTGGCTTTTCTTGGCACCTAGCACTCAGCATGTCCAGCTTCACTATTACAAGTCTAGAGACCATAGGCAACTCCCTTGATGTAAAAATTAAGGGGTATGGTACATTGAATCTATATGATGTGCAAGCCATATAGTTATTAGATCCCCAAAATTAGGCTCTGTGTGAACTTTTCCATAAGGTAGATAAATGAAACATGGCTTAAACTCAGCATATTTTAAATGGATTATCCCACATATGTTTTTTAGGCACCAGATGGATCCAGTGGTGCCATCCACATCCAGCTTCCCTGTGATAGAATTTTCCAGGTTGAGGCACGAGTGGTAAACCCGCATACAGTATCAGCTTTAGACATGGCTCTTGGACTCCTGCCTCACCTACTGAACTGCAACAAAGATTCTGACAGACCAAGAACCTGGACAGTGATGTGGGTGTGGAGATGAAACAGGTGATAATGACGATCCTGACAAAGGGCTACTTGTTACTCCAAGTCAAGCACAACTAGGCACAGAATCAAATATAGAACTACACAGGACTTCTATCTACATGGGTGGAGCAGAATCTACGTTACAGAAGAGACATGCTCAGAGGTCACCAATATCTGGATACGGAAACTCAGGATGAGTTTACCTGGTCAATCTCTCTAATAGGTGGGCCAGTCTGAGCAAGAGACTGTAGGTACCTCTGATTTATAATACCTGCTTTATTATCAGAAGGGGTGAGGATTAATGTTCTGATTTAAATTAAATCTGAAATGTCCTGATTCATTTGAGTATTATTATGCAAGGAATCTGCTCTATTTACATGTCTTAAATAGATGAACATAACTAAGTAGACTTTTAAGTGTGACAAGATAACCCAAGAAAACAGATTTCTCATAGGAATGAACTTCCAAATCTTAATGCGGTACATTTACTGTCAACGCTGATTATAAATGGAGTTGGTCTTTTAAGGTTTACAGTATTTGAATTTCTTAAAGTTAATTTAAATTCACCTCCCACACACCTGGAGTTCTTTAGCGATAGGTGACATAAATACAAGGCACATATATTATTTTATATAAATGTATCGGGACAAAGTTGTACATGGTGGTTTTGACACAAATAGACTGATTCTCCCTCTTTTTCAATGATGAATATAACCAGTTCTTTCATCTCTATTAGTTCTATGCAATGTGGAGTGTGGCTAGGGTTTGAAGAACCTAAAAATAAAAATCTCACCTGTTTGTCAACTCTATTTTTGTAAAAACAGAGTTTATCAATCTTCACTAGGAAATCAATTTTCATGAAATTTTTTTCTTCCTAAATGCTCAATCCTTTAGTTTTCCTCTGCTTCTACTTTAACACTATTCCTAAAAGTGACTATTAGAGGACTTACATCTGGGGCATTTGGTATATGCCAAAGAGATGGAATCAGAATCAGAAGCCTGGCTAAGCCAGAGGTCCAGCATCCCAAACTACTAAAATACTCTTGGTGACTTGAGGGAGGTGACAGGTCCCCTTGGGAATCCGATACAAACTCTATACCCTTTCTCCAGAAACATACATATACACAAAATGTTCTGTACATTTCAAAGTATTCATGGACCTTCTACTCCCACCCCCCCCCCCAAACTCTTTCATGGCTGCCTAGCCTTCAGGAGCCCCAGAATGGATCTGAAAATTTCTGAGACTGTCAGGGGTTAAACGGGTAGAAGCCTCTACAGAAATTACAACCTCAGTCAACAGGTGGTTCTGCTTTGGTTGGCTACGAGCCCCAGCTGGTGCAATCAGGATGCTCAGGCGAACTCCGCCCGACACCCAACCTTCAAGGTGCGTCTCGCCCTGCAGCTGTCAGGCCAGGTAGAGTGGGTCTGAACTGTCCAGGTCCGAAGGCTCGTAAGGATGACAAGAAGGGGTTTATCTGGAAATATTAACGCTCTTTACAGTTGACTTGAGGTCTCCTTTGTGAGCCAAAACCCACATAACGAAAGTCACTCCAGAATTAACTCCCTCACCTCCTCTGACTCCAAGGGTCGGAAAGGTGCGGCCCATGGGTGCGAGGACACCTTAACCAGCCGCCCAAGCATGTACGGAAGGGTTCATTCTGCCTCCACCCCAAGGGTTTGGATGTGGCCCCGATGGAAAGGATGGGGTGAGCCAGGTGCCACGGGTCCCACTGTTCTCCCTGTCTGTAACTCCAAGGCCCCTCCTTGGGCTGATTCACTCACTGATGTCCCCTTCCGTTTGGGCGTGTCGGGGGAACCCCAGGTGAGCGGCGGAGCAACTGCGCCTACCTGTGGGAGGCCTTCCCAGGAGCAGCCCCGCAGCGAGGGCGGCAGCTAGTTTTTGCTGTTGAGAGCGACGCCCACGGCGGGGAAGCTGTGGAAGACTGGGGGGTGCGAGTCCCGGGCTCTGGAGCCGACGCCCAGGACCCGCCTCCCGCCCCTCAAGTCAACGGCCCGCCTCGCAGCCCCGCCCCGCCTCCCATGGATCCTCCCTTAGCTCCGCCCCACACCGATGTCCTCCATTGACCTCCCAGCCCCGCCCCGCCAAGGACCCGCCCTCAGACCCGCCCCACGTACGAGGGCTCGCCTTGGCCCCGCCCCTCGCGCTGAGGGCCACCTCCCAGCCCCTCCCCGCCCCGCCCTCTGAGGACCCTCCCTCGGCCCCGCCGCACGTACCGAGGGTTCTCCCTTGGCCCCGCCCCTCGCGCCGAGGGCTCGCTCCCAGCCTCACCCGGCCCGCGGACGACTTCTATCCTTGCCCCCGCCCTTACCCGCCCAGGTCCCGCTTTCCCGCCCTGTCCCCATAGGTCTCGCCCTCGGCACCGCCTTACGTGCCGAGGGCCCAGCTTGCCCCACCCCCGCGCGCCGAGGACCCGCCCTTGTCCCCGCCCCCGCGCGCCAAGGGCCCGCATTCGGCCCCGCCCCACGTACAGATGTCACTCCCTCGGCCCCGCTCCTCGCTCCGAGGGCCCGCCTCCCAGTCCCGCCCCGCCTCCCGAAGACCCACTCTCGGCCACGCCCCTCACCAAGGCCCCTCCCTGGGCCCCGCCCCGCGCGCCGAGGGTCCGCCTCCCGGCCCCGCCCTGCCCCCTGGAGCCGTGGCCGCTCGGCCTCGGGCGCGGCGCTTCCTCCGCGGTCCCCTCCCGGCCGTGCCTCCGCAGCCGCTGGCTGTACCTGCCGCAGCGCGGCTGGCTTCTCCGCACCGCACGCGGGCGCGCCTGCCGAGAAGGGCCGCTGCCGCCGCCGCCGGTAAGTCCGGCCCGCACCCTCGGCCGCCGGGCGAAGCCGGGGCGTCGCCTCCCGCGAGCGGCGAGGCAGCATGGGCGCTCTCCCCCGGGTGCGAGGGCTCGGGCGGTGTCGGGGTGCAGGTGGCCCCTTGGAACGCGGCGGGCCCGCGGCGCGCACTGCTGCAGTGCGGGGGCGGCCCCAGCGAGGCCGCGCGTGGGCGTCGGCTCCGGCCCGGGACCCCCCGAGGGGCAGCCCGGGAGGCTGGTGGGGCCCCTCCCAGTTCCGCCGACTCCCGCGGCGGAGGAAGTGCGACCGCGCCCTCGCCGTGTCGGCGCGGCCTCTGGTCCGGCAGGTGGAGGTCAGGTGGGTCACGGCCCGCCCACCCTTCGCCTCGGCGGGCAGACGGCGGACAAGCTGCGCCTTTGTTCGCTTGTGCAGTCCTCGTCGGTCAGGAGGGCTGGGGACCTTTATAAAATGAGGGCTTTCCTGTTAAGGGAAGACCCCCAAAGTCTCCCACGCTGCGCCTGGGAGAAGGGATCCGAGTCGCAGTGTGTGCGCTCTGCCCGCCTGGCCCCTGCGTCCTGCAGGACTGCCGGCTACTGTCAGCGTGGATGGCCCTTAGCAACTCATAGTGCGGCTGATTACAGAGACTGTTACCTGCAGGTGTTTCCTTAATTTGGGACAGCTGCCCTACACTTGGGAAAACCTTTGTAGGATTTTTTGGTAAGGGGATGGAGGCCCTTCCCCTTCCTCCAAAGCCTGCTCCCGATAGTGTCTTAAATTTTTTCCGGTAAAATTTCGTTACCGCTCTGAAAGACCAAATTCAAAATAATGTGCTCTAGAGTTGATTAAACCAGTTGCAGAGGAGTGTTTCCGTTCTGTAGACGAAGGGTCATCATCTGTTGATAAGTTTCCTTGTTCATGCGAGGATGGCTGTTTGTCATTTTTCACTTTCTTTTCATCTAACTCAGAAACGTTCCTTCATGTAAACATCTTTACAATTAACTTCTTTCGGATCTGGCAGTTGATTTTTCACTTGAACTTATTTTTCTAAGAAAATAAGAATGGATAAGGCGGGAGATTTCCTGCTGACATTTTCTGTTTTAAGGCGGATACATCTGGTGGGGTACACTTATTTATAAGACTACTCCCTTGTGTATCTAATTGTTAGTAGGCCGTAAAACCCTTGTGAGTTTTACCCAGCTATTGAGCCTCTCACAGAAAAGGTATTCAGGATAGATTGCAAGATCATTGTCAGAACTATTAACTTTACCTGCAGCATAATGTAGTAAAGGTTCTGTGGCATTTCGCTGACCTGAGCCGGAATCCTAATTCTGCCAGTTGCTTGCTGTGTGACTCAGGCAACTTTCTGGAGGGCCTGATTCCCAATATCCTCATCTTAAGGCTAATACCCATCTCATAGGTCTCTTGTGTGTTGCATGAAATAAATGCATGCATAAATGATGAATTTACCAAGCCCACCCACAAGGCTTGCTTAGTAACATAGTATCGAATGCCCCATATTTTGAAATAAAGGACTTTGCTCCAATGAAGCGTTGCAGACTCCTTGCCTGTGCTATTAGTTACACCAAATAGTAGTTTCTTCATATAGCCAACAGTAGCATTGAACTGCTTTAGTTACCTGCTCTGACCTGGCCAACACCCTCCTTGCCACAAGCAGTGGTGTCCCTTTGCCACTCCACCTTCTATACACACACGTTATTGCTGATGAAGCTGTTTTTCTGCTAACTACCCACCCACGCCTGTGGGCTTGGAGGACTCCTCTGCTGGTGGGTGGTCTTCCTCTGTCCTTTGCTCTTTTTTTTTGAGGAAGATTAGCCCTGAGCTAACATCTGCTGCCAGTCCTCCTCTTTTTGCTGAGGAAGACTGGCCCTGAGCTAACATCCATGCCCATCTTCCTCCACTTTATATGTGGGACGCCTACCATAGCATGGCTTGCCAAGCGGTGCCATGTCAGCACCTGGGATCTGAACCGGCAAACCCCAGGCCACTGAAGTGGAATGTGCGAACTTAACTGCTGCTCCACCAGGCCAGCCCCTGTCCTTTGCTCTTGCCAGCGTCACTTTAACCTCAGCCCATACTGTCACTGTGTGTGCCATGATAAATTGATATAGTTAGATATTTTCTCTTTCATTAGGCGATGAACTATGAGAGTGGAACCTTGTCTTCTTCGTGTTTCTTTCCCCAGTGCTTAGACATTTAATGTAGTGAGCAGGCACTGCAGGGAGTATTGCAATGGTTCAGAGATACCGGATTTCAGACCAGTAAATGTCCTGAAAAAAAAAAGTTACAGACTATTTAGATGTACCAACTTCTTGGCAAAATAAACTATTGCTTCTTGTTACCATCTTTAATGTTTTAAAAAAATGTGAATGCTATTATTTCAGAAAAGAAGAACAGGCCTTCCCAAGAATGAATAGGAAATCTTACTATGTGGGTGCATATGCAAAGTACAGGATATTTTTGCAGAAAGATCCAGCCTGTGCAAAGGCTCTGTGGAAGGAGTCAGTCCTAGGACAAGCAGAGTGCCTTGGAGAGAAAGATGGGTGGAGCCTTGTAGGCCACGGGGTAAGCGGGGGAGGTCTGGATTTATTGTAAGCTTAGTGGGAAGAGTTTAAACATGGTGGGGTTGTGCTTTAATTTATGTTGTAAGAGGATTCTTGGAGCGCTGTGTGAAAATACTTTGGAGAGGGCGAGAGTGAAGGAGGACCACTCTGAAGCCTCTGTAAGCTTGCACAGTGGAGCAGTGGAGATGGTGAGCAATCGAGTCCACAGGTGTTTTGGAAGAAGAGCCAACAGGTATTGGGTTGAGTGTGGCAGGTGAAGAGAAGGAAGAGTCCAGGGTGATATCACAGATCCTGTGGGTAGTGTGGCCACTTTCTGAGGAAAAGAAGACAGGAGAAGGAGCATGCTGAACAGATGGAATTGAGAGTTTAGGGTTTTTCTAAACAGCTTTATTGAGATATACTTTACAGACCATAACATTCATTCATTCAAGTGTCCAATTCATTGATTTTTAGTAAACTTACAGAGTCATGCACCCACTGCCACAATCCAATTTTAGCACATTTCCATTACCCTAAAAATCCCTTGTGCCCATTTTGAGTTACTCCCTGTTCCTGCTCCCCACCCAAGGCATCCACTAATCTACTTGCCATCTCTAAGGATTTGCCTGTTCCTGGCATTTAATGTAAATGGAATCATACAATATGTAGCAGTTGTGACTGGCTTCTTCCACCAAGCGTGTATTTTCCTGGTTCATCCGTGATGTAGCACATGTCTGTTCCATGTTCCTTCACATTGCCGAATAGCGTTCCATTGTATGGCTAGACCACATTTTGTTGATGAGCACTCGAGAGTAGTTTGGGATGCACTAACTTTGAGACACTTTCCGCATCCATGAGGAGAAGTCAAGTAGACATTTGCATGAATCTGGACCTCGGGGAGGTTTGGGCAGGCGTTGTAAATCCGTGGGTCATTAGCATGAAGATGGTATTTGTAAGTTAGAGGAATGGGGAGATCACCGAGGATAAAGAGAGAAAGAAAGAAGGCCCAAGCCTAGTGCCAGGGAATGCCAACATCTGGCAGTCAGCTAGAGGAGGCTGAGCTTGCAAAGGGGAAGGCACAGCAGAGGTAAGAGGAAACCAGTGCAGGGCCTGTGGGCCAGAGGAGTGGTGGGCTGAGAGAAGGCTGTTGTGAGAAGGAGCCAGGGGTCTGCTGCCCATCCTACTGAGAGGTACTGTAAGGAAACAAGAGTCCCCTGACGTTGGCAACACGAAAGTTGTGGTGGCCTTGAGTGGACTGGAGCAGGCCAAGAGTGATCAGAAAATGAAGTAGAAGATATCAGAGGATTCTTGCAAATTCACTGTGGCCAATAAATGAGAGATTCAAGCTTAAAGAACGTATCGTTGTACCTACAGTTCAGTTTCTTTCACCTTTGATGTTTGCTTTTTTATTTGATTGTGTGCAACTTGGTTAGCAAACTACAGCCTGCTCAGTGTATTTTATCATATCATGTTCCTGAGCATTTCTCCATTCAGACTGTGTACTAGTGAAATACTAATTAGCCTTGTATATCAGCCAGGCCTGTGTTCAGCTTGATTGAACGGTGGCTTAAACAAATGAGCTGCTACGTGCAGAAAGCTTTAAGTCCAGAGGCAGAGCATCCAGGGTTGGTATGATGCCTTCTTAAAGCCATCCGGGGTCTCAACTTCTCTCTTTTCACTTATGCACAAAAGGAGGCATATCCTCTTGGTTGCAAGATGCGGCTTCACTTCCAGCATCAAACCTTTGTTCCAGGACAAAAGAAGGGGAAGAGTGAAGGACAAAAGGCCCATGCCAGAGGAGTCCACCTCTTTTCAAACAGCTTTCCTGGAGTCCCCACCACCAGCCTCTACTGACATCCCATTGTCCAGAGCTGTCACATGACCACCTAGCTGCAAGGGAGGCTGGGAACTGTAGTGCTGCCTGAGCAAAATTAGGGTTGCCTTAGTATGAAAAAGAGAGACAAGGGGTTTTGGGGTAGGTGCCTGCCACACTCTAAATAGATCTTAATTAGATGAAGACTAAAGAAGGGAGGCAAGTGAGAATCCTAAGGCATTACTTTTGAGAAAGTGCCAAAGCTTGGAACTAGGTGACAGACCAAGAGAACAATTCAACATTTCTGTATCTCATGGAATATTTTTCAGAGTTATAATTTGTTTGAATAGACTGATGAGTTGACCTTCAGATTTTTTTTTTTGTGATGGAGTAAAAACAATTTGATGTAAGCATGCATTTGTATTGTACATGATAACGTATAAATGATGGATGGTTTCACAAGGTCAAATCAGTGCATTCGATCTTGAACAACAGCATCCCCTGTTGTTCTTTGTTTCCTTTTGTCACATTGGGGATAAAAAGAAAAGGATATGGTTGCTGTTGGAGTTGGCATTAGACCATCTACATTTCAGGCTTTGCAATAGCTGTAATGGTTCATATATAATGAATGCATCTAGCCGCAGGAAAAAATAAAAGAATCCATCAGAGAATATACATGAGCAAGAAGAATAAAATGATGACTGCTTGGGCCCTGGTGTAATCACCTACACGCAGACTCTACACTTTGAGGACAAAGCCATCGGGGCAGCTCCTGGTCAGAGGGTCTGGTGGGTAATTGGAGCTTAGTAACTGAACAGGCACATGGTACATTTCTGACAATGATACTGTCAGACACTACGCTCTTACATCCTTATGATCTTTCAGAATTACCAATTGGCAACAAAGTATAGTCAGCCGCCTAATGAGTTTCACTCCTGGCACTAATTTTGTCAATTAAGTGGAACCCTAGTATTTTTGCTTCTTGCCACTCCATCCATTTGTCTCTCTCAGAATCCAGGAGGGCCGGAACTGTTTATCTTTGATCTACTGTAGTGCCTGGCCCAGAAGCCTTGCCAAATATTTGAACTGGATTGCCAAGGGAGTTTGTGCCCAGTAGTGTTGTGGACTCATTTCCTCTGTATCTCTGGGCTGGGAACCATTTGTGTCCTTGAATAGCTGCCTCATTTGTTTATTTTTTGATTGACTTTTAGATACTTTCTCTGCTGCAAGAATGTAAGATGGATCCAGAAGAGCAAGAACTATCCACTGATTACCGATACAGAAATTACTCTTCGGTGATTGAAAAGGCTTTAAGAAATTTTGAGTCCTCGACTGAGTGGGCCGATCTCATATCTTCGCTGGGCAAGCTCAACAAGGTATGTGAGGCACAGAGTGCTTTGATTGAGTGGAGGAAGGGACCCAACTGTCTTTTTATTATTTCGAGGAATTATCCTTTTATTATTACACTACATGCTGATAACAATTAGAAAATGCAGATAAGAAAAACCACCTGTAATTGTGTCCCCCAGCATTATCCACTGTTAACCTCTCAGAGCCCTTCCCTCATTCCAGCTTTTTTTTCTGAGTGTAGGATCATCGTGTGGATACTGTCACTAGAATAGCTGAGCAGTCTTTTTCTCAATCATATTTAGGTCTAAACAAGATCAACTTTAAAATTATCCAGTCACTTATTCAAAGATGAATTTTTCTTCACGTATTACTTAGGATTTTTATGGCGTTTTCTTCTTTGGTCTACTTTTTTGACCATTTTACTGGTGATTGGTAACTTCCGGAAGAATCAAGGATGAAATAAATACTGAAATCTGTTCAGAAATTGTGTGTGTGTTGGATGAGGGGAAAGAGGTCAGGTCTAGGAAGACCAAAACTCTTCACATGTAGGCTTAACCTTGTGTTCTCTAGAGGGGACCAATGTATTTTCTCATCCTTCCCAGAAGGAGAATGACACAGTAATGCCCATGCCCTCAGGTGACCACTATGACCTATAGGTAGAAGATATCTGGGCTCGAAGAGGCCACGCCCAGGGCCCCTGGCTGTGATAGGTGACTCTGGAGCCCGAGTGCCATGTGGGAGTTGGGAGGTGCCCTGCCCTGCTCTGCAGATCTCCACTCCCCGGGTCACACGCAGTGGGGGCTCTAACAGACATCACTGAAGAGAAAGGATTTCTCCATTGACCTCTTCAAGGAATGGGGGAGGGTGAAGAATACCAGCAGCCTGACCCCGGGTGTAATGCCTGGGCAGCAGTCCAGCACCAACCGCCAGAAAGCTGCATCAGCACCCACAGATGGCTATCAGGCAGTGGAGAGAGGCGGTTGTTACAGGTGGTGGCCCAGAAACTGCGTGGTCTCTTGCGAGGTATATTTACGACATGAGAACGTCGTGGCTGGGTGCTGGCTGGGATGGACCAGTGTAATAAAGCAGCAAATAAGAGCTTGGGAATTCTTTGGTCGTGGAGCCCTAACTCAGGAATTCTCAAGCTAAAGATAATATTCCCCATCTTGCATGAAGGTGGGTTGCTTTTTTAGGGGAAAGAGAGAAGCGCTGAAATGGGATTTAGGCAGATTCAGGTTCTTCTAAATGTTTCACTATTTTAGTACTTGACTCTCCTGGAATCTAAAAATAGCATACTTATTTTGGGAGGAGGTGTGTTCATTATTTTTTTGTTGAGGTATGATTCACATTGCATAAAATTTATCATTTAACCTTTTTAAAGTGTACAATTAAGTGGCTTTTAGGGCATTCACAATGTTGCACAACCATCACCACCATCTAGTTTCAGAACGTTGTCACCACCCCAGAAGGAAACCCTCCTCATCCCTGCCTCTTCCCAGTCCCTGGCACCACTAATCTACTTTCTGTGTCTGTGGACATTTCATCTAAATTGGAATTGTGCAATATATGGCCTTTTGTGTCTGGCTTCTTTCACTTAGCATGTTTCCAAGGTTTGCCCCTGATGTAGCATGTTTCAGTACTTCATTGATTTTTATGACTGAATAATATTTCATTGTATGGATAGACCACATTTTTTTTTCCCCGAGGACAACCAGCGCTGAGCTAACATCTGTGCCAATCTTCCTCCACTTTACATGTGGATCACCACCACAGCATGGCTAATGAGTGGTGTAGGTCTGTACCCGGAATCCAAACCTGCAAACCTAGGCTACTGAAGCAGAACGTGCCAAACTTAACCCCTACACTGTGGGGCCAGCCCCTGGATAGAATACGTTTTGTTTATCCATTCATCAGTTGGTGGGCATTTGGGTGTCTCCGTTTTGGCTCTTGTGAGTAATACTGCTCTGAACATTTGTGTGCAAGTTTTTGTTTGAACACCTGTCTTGGGTATATATCTAGGAGTGGAATTACTGAATTATGTGGTAATTCTATGTTTAACTTATGGAGGAACCACCAAACTGTTTTCTCAGCCGCTACACCACTTTACATGCTCACCAGCAACATATGAGGGTTCCATTTTTTTCACATCCTCGTTAACACTTACTTTTTGTTTTTTTTGATGATAGCCATTCTAGTGCGTGTGAAGTGGTATCTTGTGGTTCTAATTTGCATTTCCCTAATGACTAATAATTTCATATAGATATGTGTTTATTGGCCATTTGTATATCTTCTTTGCAGAAATTTCCATTCAAACGCTTTGCATATTTTTTAACTGAGTTGTTTGTCTTTTTGTTGTTGATTTGTAAGAGTTCTTTATATATTCTAGATACCAGGCCCTTATTGGATATATGATTTACAAATATTTATTTCCCATTCTTTGGGTTGTCTTTTCACTTTTTTGCTAACGCCCTTAGATGTGCAAAAGTTCTTAATTTTGATGAAGTCTAATTTATCTATTTTTTCTTTTATTGCTTGTGCTTTTAATGTCATATCTAAGAAACCATTGCCAATCTGAGGTCATGAAGATTTGCCCCTGTGTTTTTTTCTGAGAGTTTAATAATTTTAGCTTTTGCATTTAGGTCTTTGATCCATTTTGAGCTAATTTTTGTACGTGGTGTGAGGTGGGGCTCCAGCTTCCCTCTTTTGCATATGGAAGTCCAGTTGTCCCAGCACCATCTATTGAAGAGACTCTTTTTTTCAAGGGTTTTGGAACCCTTGTTGAAAATCAGTTGACCGTAGATAGATGGATTTATTTCTGAACTTTCCTTTCTTTTCCGTTGATCTGTGTGTCTCTCCTTATGTCAATACCATACATGTTTTGATTATTGTAGCTTTGTAGTAAGCTGTACAGTAAGTAAGTGAGAGTCTTCCAACTTTGTTATTCTTTTCAGAATTGTTCTGTCTATTCTGGATCCCTTGAAATTCCATGTGAATTTTAGGATCTGCTGGTCAATTTCTGCAAAAAAGCCAAGTGGGGGGGCTGGCTCCGTGGCCGAGTGGTTAAGTTCGCGCGCTCCGCTGCAGGCGGCCCACTGTTTCGTTGGTTCGAATCCTGGGTGCGGACATGGCACTGCTCGTCAAACCACGCTGAGGCAGCGTCCCACATGCCACAACTAGAAGGACCCCCAACGAAGAATATACAACTATGTACTGGGGGGCTTTGGGGAGAAAAAGGAAAAAAATGAAATCTTTAAAAAAAAAAAAAACGCCAAGTGGGCCTTGGATAGGGATCGCACTGAATCTCCGGGAGAGTGTTGCCACGCCAACAACATTAAGTCTTCCAATCCGTGAACACAAGGTGTCTTTCCATTTATTTAGGAACACATGCATTTTGAGCTAGGTAAAACAATAACCTTGGTAAGTGCAATTCTCAAGCAATGAGGTATTCTGTTCAACAGGCTTTGTTTCAGTATATCTGAAAAAATTCCTAAAACATCTAATCATTTTAACTCACCTTTTGAAAGGCAGGTTGTCAAGTACGGTTGAACCCCTTTAAGGAGTTTTTAAAGCATTGGCCATTATTCATTCAGTAGCGATATGAGCACCTACGATGTGCCAGCCGGTGTTCTAGGTATCAGGGTATAGCAGAGAACCAAACTGACAAGATGCTCCCCACTTTCTGGGGGGGATCAGGGGGAAGCTGAGGATAAACAAAATACATGGGGTGCTAGATAGCAGTGAGTGTCCTGGGAACAGTGAAGAAGGGAAGGGACGGTGAGTGTTGGGGGGACATTGTGATATTATATGGGATCATCAAGGAAGGCCTTGCTGAGAAGGTGCGTTTGACCAAGTATAGAGGTTCTGGTGTGTCTGAGGCCAGTGAGGTTGTCACGAAGAGAGAGGGAGAGAGTGTAGGAGACAAGGCCACAGAGGCAAGAGATGGGGAGGGCATCCAATCTTGTAGGTTCTTTAAAACTGGAATCTGACAGTGACTTCTCAGTTCGGGGGAGCCCTGAGGGAGTGCTGAGCAGAGGGGCATGATCTAGCTTCCCCTGTAGCATGCTAGAACCATTTCCAGCTGCTCTGCTGGGGGTAGGAAAGAGATGGGGGTCAGGCAAGGCAAAAACAGGGAGGCCATTTAGGAGCTGTTGCCATAACATAGGTGGGCCAGTGGAGAAGGGTTTGGATTCTGAATATACTTGGAAGGAATAACTAACAGAATTTGCTGGTGGATTGGAGGAGGCATATAAGAGGAAAAGAGGAGTCAAGTATGACTCACAGGTTTTCTCCCAGGTTTTCGGCTTGAGAAGCCTCAAGGATGCGATGGGGAGACGGGAGGAGCCAGCCCCATGGGGTGGGCAGGGAGAGCAGGGCTTCACTTTGGGATGGCCTCTGCTGGGTGTCCCAGTGTGATGTCTATAGGCAATTGGATATGAGTAGTATTGGATAAAAATTTTAAAAGACAACTTTTTATTAAAATTGGTACCCAATTCCTTGTAATCCCACTGTGTCCTCTTTGCGGCTCAAGTTTCCTGTTCTCTGCTGCTATGATTAGGCAGTGAGTGAGAGCAGCCCCCTTGAAAAATTTGCAAGATATCAGTGGGATGAGGGTGACACCATCTGTCCCTCCCTCGGCCCTGCCCATGGCAGCTGACATTCATAGCATACTGTGTGCTAAGGACTTGACGTGCATTCTTGTAAAATATGCACAGCATATCTTGAGGTTGGTCTCGGGCTAAGCAACTTGTGCCACTCAAAGCCAGCAAGTGGCAAAGGGAAGGCTCAGACCCTGGCTGCCTGGCTCCAGAGCCCACGCTCTTGAGCTTTTTCCATTGTCAGTGGCTGTCTGGCTCACACAGGGGGACAGGGATACACCTCTTTGCTCTCAGGGGCGCTGTCTTCATTATCCAGATGAGGTAGGTGCAATTGTTTGCCCTCTTTTATTGATGAAGGTTAACTGACTTGCCCGATGTGATACGGCTGCTAAGTGGTTGTTACGCATTGATTTGTAACCCCCGGCACCTCA